TCAATAATATTATCAGGTGATAGTGTCATGAATTTTTTGGTGACAACGTGGATTAACTTAACTATGTTAGTCCTCGTGCTTTATTTGTCCTACAATTGTATTGTTAATGTGTCTGTATATTCAAAACCGGCTTTGAGAAAAATATATTCAGCTAACAAGTTGATATACGCCATTTCTAGTTTTATTCAGTATTAATTCTTTTTTCCAATCTTCACAAGTATGCAAGTGATTACCATATTAAAACAAACAATAGGTTGTGAATTACTTTACGAAAGACTTGAGACGTTGTATGTTGCATTAATTAATTTAAATATTTGTTTGTCTATATCAAATGGCAGGCGTTTTGATAATTATCATTAGCCCTTTAGTTGACTTCAGGCTTCACAGAGGGGAAAGAACATCAAAGTGAAAAAAATTCAAGAGGGGGGGGGGGAAGAAGAGTGTTTCAAAGATGTAAAAGAGACAAACACAAAGGTAGAACAAAGGGAAGGTGAGTACTGTGGAAATAGTCGAATATGGCATAGAGTGAGGTGTTGGTACCTTGAAGTGAGAAGTCAACTGCCAGTTAATAGACTTTTTTGCCACATGAGTATACGTTGCCTAGGGTGCACCATGTGGAGGTAAGTCTATCACACACCTCATTAATTTAAATAAGGAGTTAATTGAGAACATCTTACATATGGCAAACAGAATGCACATAAATTCTTATAAGATTCTGGAAAGGCTGGGAAATTGCAATCTTAAGCTGACCACTTGTCACATTAATTACTTCAATATCTACTAAATCTGTGCGTTGTTAGGTGATTCCGCATTTCCTGGTGAGGTGGATAGCGCAGTTTGATCCTTCACCAGTAATACGCAGGGTTTGTTACAAAAGATGTCACTAAACAAACCGCTGAAAATATTTAAATATGGCAGACAGTGCAATTAGAATGAGAACAATATTATCAATTAAGAATAATCGCCTTAAGCCATTGTATGGAAATTTTCTATTAATTATCATTCTAGAAATCCGCTTAGTAAGGAAGAGAATTTAAATATGCAGCGACTTGGCTTTCCGCTTTTTGCCTGCCAATTAATTTTGTCGTCTCCGTTCTTTTTAATCAACAATTCTCTGATTCGTGCAATAGAAATAGAATTTAAATACAGTTGAAGTGACATAATTGTGAATGCAAATAGGTCAGTGATTCCGAATTCAATTATTAGAAATCATCAATTTAACCAGTTGTACATGAGACATTAAAATTAGTCCAGAAGGCCTAGTAGAAGATTCCTTTCCATGGTCCAACGGTCTGAGAATCAGAGATCACGAATTTCAAGATCCTCAAGAAGCAGATATAAATCTCGAAGAATATGGTGGTCATATCTATTTCAGAGCAAGCAAAATCTTGCTTAAATTTATTAATTTCCATTAAAGGAGATAATTAATTATAAGCTTGATAAATCGATTAATTGATGTTATTGAGAAAGCCTATTTGACAGATCTTCGGAGAAATTCGATTTGCACTACCATCAGACCAATAATTTGGCGATGGAGGACTTCTTTATTTCTGCATGAAGTGCGTGCAGCTCAAAGCACAAAGAAAATGCCAAAAAGGTAATTAAAGCTCACATATGAATAGAGTAATTTGAACAAAATCGAATTTGGCTCTATTTCTCCCACTATATATATATATATATATATATATTTCCCTAGTTGATGCCAAATAGGAAGAATATGCTAGAGATTTCTTCTCGTTTGTATTAAAATCCAACTCTAATCACTAAGGTGACAGGGCTGAGTCCCGTTTCGTATCGCTTGCTGTAGCCGTTTCCTTAGTTATTCATATGGTCCATACCTTCAGTTTAGGTAGTGGAAATGGACCTCTGGTTGATTCATTTTTCGTCTATATTCACAGAATTATTACATATACACTAATTCAATTGACTTGTTCCGATATTGATGAGGTCTGATTTTGCTAATATAATGCATCTTGATCGTCAGTGCAACTTTAAATTAATTGCACTAAATCTTCAAATAACTGACAACCTAAAATTATTTTACTAAAACGAGAAACGCTTCGATAAATTCATAAATTTCTTTTTTGAGATTTTATCATTAGCATATTGTAGAAGGCGAATATAGGTCACTCTATTAATCATCCTCAATATTATAATACTGAATAATTTTTATAAACTGTACAACTAGTCGAAGAATATAATAACGACTACTTATTCGACATCTCATGCATTTAAATGCACAGTTCAAAACGGAAATTGAAAGTATATTGTGCCAGAAAATTGCCTATTATTTCAGACAAATGAGCATTCTAATGGCACTATTACAAAAAAACGCATGAAATAAAATTTCCTGTGATTGAGTTTCTAATGGGTATGCTAGATGTAAAATGTTTGGTATTTTATTTCAATTTTAAATCCATAATTTCTTACTGAAATGCTTTCTTTCGAAATAAAACTTTCGCAAACATGGAAAACCATAAGGTCTTAAGATATTACAAAACCAACAGAACAGTCCTATTAAAAATTAATTTAATTATTTTCTTTAATCTTATCGATTGGAAGGTCAATCTTTGTTTTGTCCTGAATCTCATTGGTCAATAGCTCTGTGTTCGTTAGCCGCGTAATTTTACGGGGTCGAGTTTTCAAACGAACTCCCTCGGTTATCACATATCTGTAGGTATCACTCAAAAGGTTACATAAAAACAAGCCTTCATATTAAAGTATTAATTAAGTTTGATTTTGATCTTCTGATTATAGTATTGGGCATGCTATCGCATCCCTATAACTCATCGCTTTCACCAAGCCATCATATATCTGGAGCTCGTGGTTTTAACGTTCGAACAAGTATTCAGCGTACTTCTTCTGTATCGAGTCTTTTGTTCACACGTCGTCCCTCTGCAAGTTCCTTGGCGGTGCCGTCTAATCAATTATCTCCTTTGTACCAACACCTTTATCAAGGACACGACCCTCGGTATTCTTTTGCTTCTACCACAGATCTGGATCATTGTTTCGGGGGAAGTGGGGGCGGTTGTAGTAAGAATATTAGAGCATCGAGGGACGGTCCGCGCGACGTTTGTCAGGATCTTTATGACTTTCTTCAAGGTGCTGATTTAGAGGAATATTACGCCGTCTTTAGTAAACATCTTAAAGTAAGTGCTTGTTTGATATTATGGAAAATTGTGAATATTTTGGATGATATTGGAAAATTTTAAATTTTTTGGCTGATTATTTTTCTCCAGATAGCATTGATTTGATCTAGTTTTGGAACATGCGTTTAAAATTTACTTTCCCAAATTTTTTACATTGTGTCGTTGAATAACGATTTTGTGTTATTTCAACTAATTTATTTTAAATCTTGCTCAATATTTTATGATTATATATTTTTACGATTAACCTCTTTTTTATTTATCAAAAAAGTTTTTTATGTGAATTTTTTTCTTTTTTGACATTGAATATTTCTTTATTGTAATGTGAATATAGTTTTTTTTCCTAAATGTTATTAACAAACATGACACCTCTAAAATAACTTTCTCTTGATCATTGGTCATTTCGTTACTGAATCTTTTGGTTCCCTTAAGTTTTTTTTTACTTGGATAAGGTCACTTTATTGACTTAATTATTAATAATATTAATGTATTATTAGACCTATTAGAACTTTTCCTTTACTAATGATGATGTTTCTTTAATTAATGGGAGCTAGGGTAAAAATATATCGCAAATTATCGTTAAACATTCCTTTATTTCGGAAGAAATGAAATGTATCAAGTGCCTGATTTTACAGACGGGTGTCTTCTCCCTTCTCTCTACCCCCTTGGCTGACCTCGGGGTCTATGTTTGATTAAGTGCAATTTACCTCAACCCTAAGGTCCCAGCGATCTTTCCCCCCAGTTACTTTTCCCCTCTCTCTCTCGTCCTTGACATTGGCACTCCTCTCCACCACGAGACGCCTGTGGAACATCAACTCCCCCCCCCTCCCTTTAAAGTGCCAGTATCAAGAATGTTGCTTGTTGTGTGTGTTTGGGGTAATTCAGTCAATTAGTGTATAGCGTTAATTTGTGATGAATTCTATGAATTTTTCCTGGAATATGTTATTAGAGAGATAGATGGCCCAATTAAAATAAACACCTTCCTTTTGTCGTCAATTAATATGTAGCAAACTTCAACATTTTTGCCTGTGTGCGTGTCCTAAACTCAGATGCCGAATTTTGTGCCAAATTTCACGCTGTTGTTAGACATTTGAAAAAAAGCTTTCAATCCCGTCGTCTAATTCTTAATTCAACTAATTAGAAACCGGGCAATGCTGAAATCAATGTTATGCTTATTTTTAAGCGATATATTTTTGTTGCTTCCTCTTCTTCTTCTTCTTCTTCGGTTTTCTATGCTGATTGCTCTCTGCCTTTATTGTTGTGCGCCGAAACGTCAACGTCGTGCATTTTCCCTGCATTCAGCATTTATCGGTTAATTTGCTTGCAATGAATCAATAATTCCCCCATCGTGCCAATTCGTTAGATTTGGGTGTGAGAGAAGGAGGAGACTTAGCATATCATGACGCGTCCGTTGCTGGTCGCGTTTTATTACGCCAACGCGCTCTGTGTGTATAGTGTAACTTTTTTTCTAATCGCCAAAATAACTACCTCCACCACCACCACCACCACAACAACAACAATTCCTTGGCCAGTAAATCTCTTGGGTGACTCACAGTTGAAATCAGCTTGGGCGCGTCTGCTCACTTACTCAGCACTACCATCGTCTCACCCAGTCTCCTCTAATTTTTCTGCCAGGTGTTGTAGGTTTTCCCTCTCTTGTTTTTTTAGCAACGTGGGTGTAACAGTGAGTTCAAAATTATGTCAAAACGGTAGTGCACTAGTTGTTGGCTAGGTAATCCCTTCTTTAAAGGTTAATAATTTGAATATAATGATTTAATTTTCGTTAATAAAATGGACACTTAAAAAAGTGGCCTTCATTGTAACTTATTTCGTAGATGGAGGAAGGGGGGGGGGTATGCAATAGACCTACCTCCACGTAGTGCAGCCTGGGCAACGTATTCTCATACGGCAAAAAAGTCTTTAAACCGGCAGTTGACTTCTGGTTTCAAGCTACCATCACCCCACTCGTTGTCATATTCCACCACTTCCACAGTAGTCCTCTTATCTTTTCTCTGCCTTTGTGTCTAGCTAACTCTTTCACATCTATTAATCATTGCTCTGTCCCTCCTCTCGACTTTTTATCACTTTGATATTCCTCCTCCCCTCTGTGAAGCCCGAAGGCAGCTAAATGGGTAATGGTAACTATCATAACGCCTGCCATTTGAGATAAATTTCATAGATGGGGGTTTCGCAGGTACCCCTCTTTCCAACTCACCTCATTGGTTTGCTTTCTC